GAAGGTAAAAGAGGAGAGTGAAAAAGCTGGCTTAAAACTCAACATTCAAAAGATGAAGATCATGGCATCTGGTTCCATCACTTCATGGAAAATAGAAGGGGGAAAAGTAGAAGCAATGACAAACTTTATTTTCTTGGGCTCCAAAATCATTGCTCACAGTGACTGCAGCCACGAAATTCAAAGACGCTTGCTCCTTGGAAGGAAAACTATGACTAACCTAGACAGCATATTAAAAAGCAGAGCCATCACTGCCAACAAAGGTCCACAGAGTCAAAGCTATGGTTTTTCCAGTAGTCATGTATGGATGTGAGAGCTGGACCATAAGGAATGTTGAACTCCAAAGAACAGATGCTTTTGAATTGTGGTGCTGGAGAAGACTCTTGAGAGTCCCTTGGGACTGTTAGGAGATCAAATCATTCAATCCTAAAGGAAATCAACCCTGGATATTCATCGGAAGGACTGATGCTGAAGCTGAAGCTTCAATACTTTGGCGCACCTGATGCGAAGAGCCAACTCAATGGAAAAGACCCTGATGCTGGGAAAGATTGAGGGCAGGAGGAGAAGGGGGTGGCAGAGGATGAGCTGGTTAGATAGCATCACTAAGTCAATGGACAGACATGAATTTGAGCAAACTCAAGGAGATGGTGAAGGACAGGGGAGCCTGGTGTGCTGCAGTCCATAGAGTCGAAATGAGTTGGACACAACTTAGTGACTAGTGACTGAACAACAACAGCAACATAATTCAAAAAGATACGTGCAGCTGTATGTTAATAACAGCACTATTCACAATAGCCAAGACATGGAAACAGCCTAAATGTCCATTGAGAGAGGAAGGGATAAAGCAGAGGCGGCACATATATAAAACAGAACACTACTCAGCCATAAAAAGAAGGAAATGCCATTTGCAGCAACATGGATGCAACCAGAGATTATTATACTAAGTGAAGTGAGTCAGAAAGAGAAAGATGACTACCACATGGTACCACTTATATGTGGAATCTAAACTATGACACAAGTGAACCTAAGTATGAAACAGAAAATGACTCACAGACATAGAGAAGAGACCTGTGGCCGCCAAGAGGGAGAGCGTAGGGGAGGGATGGACTAGGAGTTTGGCGTCGGTAGATACAAACTATTACATACAGAATGGATAAACAAAGTCCTACTGAATAGCATAGGCTTCCCTGGTGGTTCAGACAGCAAAGAATCTGCCTGCAATGTAGGAGACCCAGGTTCGATCCCTGGCTTGGGAAGATTCCCTGGAGAAGGGAATGGCTACCCCCTACAGTGTTCTTGCCTGGAGAATTCCATGGACAGAGGAGCCTGACAGGCTATGGTTCATAGGGTCGTAAAGAATCAGACACAACTGAGGGACTAACACATACCTACACTGTATAGCACAGGGAACCATATTTAATATCCTGAGATAAACCATAATGGAAAAGAATATAAAAAGAATATATATGTGTATAAATGAATCACTTCGCTGTACAGCAGAAGTTAACACAACATTGTAAATCAACTGTATTCCAATGAAAAAGAACTGTTTATGCTTTAACATATGCAGCAGGACATTGTGTCCCTGTCAAACAGTATTCACATCAGCAAAAATGGTAATATTTTCCTTTTTTAAGTTTTTCAGTCCCTCTGTTGACATTTGGGAATACATCATTTTTATGCATATATGCAAACCTACTGGGAATCAAATGGTGTGAGACAATGAATGCTTTAAAAGGTCACCAAAAATAAAGGGCCATAAAAAGACATTTTAAAATTTCAAAAATGAGTTTCACTCACATTTGGACAAGGATGTAAATTCACCTCTGTAGTAAATTACAGTGTATTGTAAAGATGAAATGGTTCTTGGCCTGCATTCTTTCCTCACCCCCATCCTATCCTCCACACAGCTGCCAGACTAATCCTCTAAAAACACCAATTTTCATATGCAACTTTTCAAACACTAGCTTCCCGGCTTCCTGTTGCTGAAAAATAGTTTCAGGTGCTTTTGTCTGGCATTCAAGGCTCTCTCCCTCCCACACTTTCACTCCTGCTCATTTCTTCCACTGCACACAGGCTGTGTGATCTTGGGGGTATGTAAAGGCCCATCTCGAGAATTCCATGGAGGTCCAGTGGTTAAGACTCTGTACTCCACCGAATGGGGCTGGGGTCTGATCCCTAGTCTGAGAACTAGGGTTCCACATGCTGTGTGGCCTAAAAAAAAAAAGAGAGACCCATCTCCCAGCTGTCCCACTGAGGGCCCCATGCATCTTCCAGGCTTGTTGGCTCATTCAGCAATGCTTAGAAAAGCTATTCCTGGGTCATGTGCCAACCCTTAGAGTCAGGAGGCAGGGGTGATGGTGCCATTGCCTGATCACATGGATTGACTGTGGAATGATGGTTCTCCAGGAGAAAACTGACATTCCTATTAGAAGTTATATAGCAAAAACGACAGAGACCCATTACCACTGCCTTAACATACTCTAGTCAAACATCAGCAAATACCTGTTCAAATGAACTTACTAACCCTCATTTGGGCCTCTTCTACCACACATATGGCCTCAAGGGTTTATCAAATCAATTCAACTGAGGGATTGTCCCATTCTGGAATGTAAGGAGTCTCCTATGATCCTAAATCCACATGCTGTCATTGCAGGTCTAACTGCATACCTTTTGAAATAAGGAAGTATAACTTTTCATCTCAGGTTGCATAAATTTAAGTAACACCCAAAATAATGTAAAATGAGCAAAGGCAATATATTTCAGTGATGAATCAAATAAGCTATGTTTTGAGTTGCTGTTTTCCCCTTTTGAAGATAACATTTCTGATCACTGTCATTGTGCAAAGACACAAGACCAGCAGTTTTCCCTCCACTGTCAGTTCAGTTCAGTTCAGTCGCTCAGTCGTGTCCGACTCTTGCAACCCCGTGAATCACAGCATGCCAGGCCTCCCTGTCCATCACCAACTCCCGGAGTTTACTCAAACCCATGTCCATCGTGTCGGGGATGCCATCCAGCCATCTCATCCTCTGTCGTCCTCTTCTCCTCCTGCCCCCAATCCCTCCCCAGCATCAGGGTCTTTTCCAATGAGTCAACTCTTCGCATGAAGTGGCCAAAGTATTGGAGTTTCAGCGTCAGCATCAGTCCTTCCACTTAAGGCTTTATAAATGAACGTCTCAAAATTTGCCTGAAAGCTTCCATGGCAAACTGTCAGCCTGAGGGTGGTTACCACCAAGCCACTTGGGCTTACATATGTCTTCAGTCCCTTTTTTAATACACATACCATTTCCTGTTTTAAACTTTCATCATCTCAGTTCTACTGTGGATGAGTATTTGCAAATCTGACTCCTAAAATTTCAGGGCTTTCTTACTTTGGTTTCCCAGGGCTTGGCATTTTCTTTGGTGCATACAGAGCTATCAATCAATCCATTGATCCATGCTATGTGTGAACAGTATAACAAATATTGGTTCATTTCTTATAACAAAGGGAATAGGAACTTCTCACAGTAATGTTAATTTCCAAGAAAAGAATGAAGGCAGGAAGCTAGCTGGTTTATTTGTACCTACTATAAGCAAGGCACTTTTAGGTATTTTTATATATTTGTTTGTTGTTCTCGTTCAGTTGCAAGTTGTGTCTGACTCTTTGCAGCTCCATGAACTGCAGCACGCCAGGCTCCTCTGTCCTCCACTATCTCCCAGTGTTTGCTCAGACTCCTGTCCATTGAGTTGGTGATGCTGTCTAACCATCTCATACTCTGCCCCTCCCTTCTCTTTTTCCCTTAATCTTTCCTAGCATCAGGTTCTTTTCCAATAAGTTGGCTCTTCACATCAGGTGGCCAAAGAATTGGAGCTTCAGCTTCAGCAACAGTCCTTCCAATGAATATTCAGGACTGATTTCCTTTAGAATTGACTGGTTTGATCTCCTTGCACTCCAAGGGACTCCCAAGAGTCTTCTCCAGCACCACAGTTTGAAAGCATCAGTTCTTTGGTACTCAGCCTTCTTCATCATCCATCTTGGGTGGATTTATAACTTCACTGAGTTACAAAAGCCCTTTCACCGTGACAAGGCTGTGATCCATGAAGGGGATTTTTATATATACATGATTTCACTTCACTTTCACAACCCTACACATTCTTACAGACTTGGAGTGTCGATTACTTGCTAAAGTAACACAAACTCTTGGTGAGAGACCCATGAGTCAAACCCAGCATGTCTGACTCCTTGTAATTTATTGTGATTCTGAGATTCATGAGTTAATTTAGGTGCTATTGAGAAAAGTAAAAAATGTCTATTTTAAAGAGTGTTTTAAAACACTCTGCAGGCATTAGTAGAAGCGAAAGCAGGACAGTGTGACAATAAATAGATCGTATGGGAGCACTTTGGGAACTCTGGTGGATGATAGTTGTTCTTTAATTAGATTTTTGTAAATTTTTAAAATAGTTCCATTTGCATTACCCTTTAGAGTTCACAAAACACATGGGGAAAATAAAGTAATGAGGGGTTATAGTTGCAATTCGTAAGATCAGGTACAAGGAAATAGAATGAGAGGGAATAATAACCTTTATTATATATAGTGCATTTTATGTAAAAAAAATTAACTTTAACGTGTGTTTCTGCCACCCGCTTTCTATTTGATATAATAAGACTGGGAGTGATAAAACAATGAATTGTGGGTTTTGAAAAGCAAACCAGCTTTACAGCAATGCTTGAGGTTGTGTTGCTGACTTGATATGTGGTTCTTGACAACTAACCTCAGAAATAATTCCACCTTCATGAGAAGTAAAGAACCACAAACCAAACCTCAGAATGGATGCTAAAACACCCTTTTAAAAAATTTCCCTTCCTGTCAGAAGGCAGACCAAAAGGAAGTTCGTCCTCCCACCCACAAATTCCCCAGCAACTCTCCATCAGAAGGTCAACACTCAGCAGGACCCTCTTCTCTGAGCCTCTAGTTTCTTCCATGGCATATTCCAGAGAATAAGGCAGCGATCTGGAGAGTGCCATGGGCCTCAGGACGACTAAACAGATGGAGAGAAGCACCAAGCAGGCCCCTGGGCACCAAGAGGGTAGGTATGATAGATACTTTCCGGTTTCCTGCATTTTTAGAGCTGGGTTTTAGCTAGAGGCTGTTCCTTTCTGATAAATTGACTAAAAGCTATTAGTTATCTCTTTCCAGTTAATTTATACCTTTCAATTCTTACCTGCGAAGAAAGACAGAGATTATTTTAAACCCTTAAGAGATTCCTTTTAAATTACCTGTTACCACTGTATAATAAAAGATTTATGATTGATGTTAGATTTAGTTAAAATATAACCATCATATATATGCTTAGTAAACGATTCCAGTCATGCACATGTAACTGGTATAAAATGAAATGAAATTAAAATTTAAAAAGACTTTTTTTTTTTTTGCTTTTAAATATTTTTTAATACAAAAATACCCATACACAATCTTCCAAACGCAAAGGCCAGCCTCCGCCTTTGGGGTACCAGGTGCTACCGCCACTTTTGAGACAAAAACTTGACGTTCACTTCTGGGGTGAATATACTGAAATGTAGATTTAAGAGTTGCCGGTCGGGGGAGGGGGGGGAATAGCATTTAAGTTCAGAAGTTGTATTTAGACTTTCGTTTATTAAAGAACCGATTCGGCATTTCCAGGGGAGTGCTAAGCTATTTTTCTAGCGACCGTGTATCAAGCTTCCTCTTTTCACTCGCTTTCTGTTGCACTTAACCTGGAGGTCATGTAATAACCAATGCCAAAGAAAAATCAAAATCGAAATTATTAGCGTGTGCCATCATGCAGCGGCGTTCTCTGCCTAAAGATCAGGAAATGGTTTAAATATCAGATCGCCGCCAGGCATCTCAGCCCAGGCCTGTGCGCGGAGTAAAGTTGCGTTCCGACTCAGGGCGAGATGAGGAGCCCGTGGGGCGACCCGTGACTGCAGCCAGGTTTTAAGGCTAATTAATAATTGCTTCGCCGCCGGTGCCGGGCAGCAGACACGTGAGCTCCGCGGCGGGACCTGCGGGGGCACCCGGACGCGGGACTGCAAGGGCGCCCGCGGCGGGCGCTGGGAGTCCCGGGCAGCCGGGGACTCCTCCCCACGCCCCGGCCTGTGGGGCCCGGGTTCCCGCCCGCGCCTCTGGAGGCGGGGGATCGGGACGCTCCCGCAGGGGCTTTGCTAATTGCCAAGCAGGAAGTGAGCGCGGGGAAGGGCTGCGGAGAGAGGGAGGAGGAGACGGGGGAGGCGCTGGAGGAGGAGGGGCGCGCGGAGCCGCGGAGATTCGCTCCCCGCGCGTCGGAGCTGCAGGAGGCTCAGCACCCGGCTCTCCTCCCCAGTCCCGGAGGCCGCCCAGGCCCCTCGGGCGCCCGTCGGCCCCACCCCGCTCCCATGGCTTCTCCGGACGACCCTCTGCGCGCGGGTAAGGTGACACCGCGCCGCGCCCTCACCTGGAGCGGGGACCGCGGGTCGCGAGATCTGGAGGCGCCCGCGGCTGCGGCAGGGTTGTCGGGGCCGTGCTCCTCGCGAGCCCTGAGGGGCGACCTGCGGCCACCCTGGACCGCGGCCCCCCACCCAGGCTCGCTCAGGTCCGGTCAGCAGACAGCGGAGGCGCCCGAGCCCCGGGGAGCGCCTGCTGGTGGCACCCGCCTCCTGCGCCCCCCGCAGCCCCTCGGATGCCTGAGACCCCCCTTTCCTCTTCCCACTCGTGGCCCCAGCCGCTTTGTTCTGGACCCAGGGTGCCGGGTTGAAACAAGCCTCTCAAACCTCTCAGCAGAGGGGAGTGCAAGGGGTGGCTGCGGGTGCATTTCTTCCTCCCGAGCTCGTCCTTTCTCCCCACTCACGTGCTTTCTCATTTCTCCTCCTGTCTCCTCATTTCACTTTTATTAAATGCTTTGGCTTCTAAATATTGGCTCCTGGAGCTCTTTGGTAAACGTATCCGCAAAACCAAGCGGTGGATCCCACTGGTGGGATCCCACCTGTAGAGGCCTTTGATTAGAACGGCCGCTAGTTCTGTCCTTATCGTTAAACACTGTTTGCATCTGAAGCCAGATTCTAGTCTTTTCTTCCATCTGACTTGAATTTAAGAACCGTAAAACACTGAGTTGTAACTGAGGTCAGGATCTAGCTGTTAATCTCACTTGAGTTTAGAATCTTTCTCAGACTTCACCTTCGGAAATTCTCTGTCCTTCCTCTCCCATAACCTTGGCTAATCCTCAGGGAATGTTTGTTGAACACCTAAATGAGTGAATGATGTATCCCCTGGAGCACACTGGGGCTGTTTCTAGTTTCGTTGAGGCAGGAAAGGTTAGGGAGAATCCCAGGTATATGAAACTGCTTAGAGAGGTGTTTCCTATTTTCTTTCGTGGGCAGCATGGGAGCCTGACTGTTTCATTGTTCACTTAGGGCTTGAGCAGTTAGGAGAAGGAGACAGAAAGTACCTGGAGGTGAGTCAGAAGATCACTAAATTGGCATTGTGATGTGCTGCTCTGGGAGGACTTCCTGGAGATCTTAAAGGAAGATCTAAATTCTTCTTCAAGTGGGGAATGGTAAACATTTTATCCATAAGAGATGGAAAATAAATGCATAGTTTGGGTATCCTTCTCCTCCCCTGTTTTCATTGTTTGAAAAAACAAGAGGAAATGAAGGGAGAAATTCTGCCCCTGCCCCCCAACTCTCACCTCCACATCCACTTCCTCTTCTGAAAACCTAACTGACTAGGTGCAAGAGGTGTTAAGCTAGATTTTAGGAACAGTGGTTTCAGATCTTATTAAATGATGATGGTGAGGGAGATTCAAAAATATCTTTATAGGGACCCATTGAATGGGGATATATAGAAAGTCTGCTTGCCCCACGCCCCCGCTCCCCCCGTCAGTGGCACCAGAGAAGGTGGGGGCTGGGACACAGCATCATGGATAAAAGCGTCAATGAGTCAAAAGTATGATGAGGCCACCAGGGCAACTAGTGGGATCTTAGATGGCAGTAATAGCATTGCAGGATCTAAAATTCCAGCGATGGTACTTAGTCTGTGTGGCCCAGCCAAGATGGAAGCACACAGACTGAAACAAAGGGACTTGGAAATCCCAGCACATGTGGTAGGTCGAGAGAGCTGAGGATGTCATCTGGTATGAACCTGTCTCTTGACTTTTAAAAGGTAGAACCTAAACTTACAGTGGACTCTTTTTGGCTTCCTACAAATAGTGGGGAGCCCTCCTAAGTAGAGATGTCTCTGTCACTTGCAGAGATGCTTAAGAACATCTTCAGGCATCTGAATATACCCTCATGTCCATTCCCACTCTGGAATTCTATCAATTAGATAGAGTTCTTCCATTAAAAAGAAAGATTTAAAAATGACTTCTTTCTGACATCTCATTTCGTTTCTATAACCACCAGGACACACCCACTTGCCCCTTTCGTTTCTGTAATGAAGCCACAAAGTGGTGATAATGTGGAACTTGTTAAATGGAATTTTCCCATCTCTTCCCCAAACCCCGTTACCATGCTGTCTCACCTAATTTCCTGCACTGACCTCCCAACTTGTGTTTCCATACCCACTCTTGCTTTCCACCAACCTGATCACCTAAAGGTGGCTAGAGTGACCTTTTAATATCAACGCAGACCTGTCCTTCCTCTACTTAGAAACCTGTGCTGACTTTCCCGTATATCTCAATCTTTTAACAGCGTACTCTGTGCACGGACCTGTAGGTCTCCCTTCAGTTGGTGAGCCTGCTCTGTCTCTCTGCGTTGCAGCCATGCCACCTCCTCTGTTTCCTTGAGAGCCCTGGACCACCTGCCTCCTGGCCTTTGCACATAGAAGACCCCCTTCACATTCCTGTCCACTCATCACCCCACTCGAGCTAACTCCTGCTCACCATTCAGATTTCAGATCAAAAGGGATATAGATCCGGCTCCACGTTACACACTCTTGGTGCACCCTTCCAGCGCTTGTCACCATTTCTAGCCATGAAATTTCACCGTTGTCTTTCTCCCCCATTAAACTATGAGTTCTTAGACAGAAGGCTCGACAGTTTATCTCCAACACCAGGGCCCCGTACCCAGCACATAGTAAGCCTTGGCTAAATACTTATCACCTCAGTAAATGAACTGTTGTTCAGTTGCTCAGTCATGTCCGACTCTGCGACCCCATAAACTGCAGCACATCAGGCTTCTTTGTCCTTCAACTCTCCCAGAGTTTGCTCACACTCATGTCTATTGAGTTGGTGATGCCATCCAAGTCTCATCTTCTGTCGTCCCCTTCTCCTCCTGCCTTCAGTCTTTCCCAGCGTCAGGGTCTTTTCCAATGAGTCGGCTCTTCCCATCAGGTGGTGAAAGTATTGGAGCTTCAGCTTCACCATCAGTCCTTCCAGTGAATATTCAGGGTTGATTTTCTTTAGGATTGACTGGTTTGATCTCCCTGCAGTCCAAGGGACTCTCAGGAGTCTTCTCCCAAACCACAGTTTGCAGGCATCAATTCTTTGGTGCCTTTTTTATTGTACAGCTCTTACGTCCATACGTGACTGCTGGAAAAACCATAACTTTGACTATACGGACCTTTGTAGGCAAATGAATGGAAAATATAAAATGTAACCATGTATGCCTCAAACTATGACAAACTTAGACAGCATATTAAAAAGCAGAGACATTACTTTGCTGACAAAGGTCCCTATAGTCAAAGTTATGGTTTTTCCAGCAGTCATGTATGGATGTGAGAGTTGGACCATAAAGAAGGCTGAGCACTGAAGAATTGATGCTTTTGAACTGTGGTGTTGGAGAAGACTCTTGAGAGTCCCTTGGACGGCAAGAAGATCAAATCAGTCGATTCTAAAGAAAATCAACCCTGAATATTCACTGGAAGGATTGATGCTAAAGCTGAAGCTCCGGTACTTTGGCCACCTGATGTGAAGAACCGACTCATTGGAAAAGACCCTGATGCTGGGAAAGATTGAGGGCAGGAGGAGAAGGGGACGACAGAGGACGAGATGGTAGATGGCATCACCAACTCAGGGGACGTGAGTGTGAGCAAACTCTGGGAGATGTTGAAGGACAGGGAAGCCTGGCCGGCTGCAGT